TTGAATCTGTAATTCAAATTGCAAACGAGGAACGCCAAAATGTTTATGATGATATCGAATCATTAATTTTTAATAAAGAACGGTTTTTACTTAATAGTTTATTAGATTTCATGCCTAACAACTGGTTAGCTAATTGTAATCCAGTCATTGTTAATTTTATTAATACTCTTACTCATAATGACAATAACAACTATAGTAACCATACTTCAAACAAAAAAGCCTTTAAAAAAATAGTTGCAATCGATGCAATATATGGGTCACAACATAAAAGCTACGTATTGGAAATAAATCTAGCTATTTCAGGGATCAAATATTCACTATCACGATCTAAAACAATCATTGATATAGATAATTATGTAGTTAGTTCTAGAAGTTATACTAAATTTGTTGGCTGGTTAGAATCATTAGCAATTGAAAATGAACCTTTACCTAAGGGGCTTTTATTCATGGCTTTCGATAATGAACAATGAGGTCAACATAATTACCTTGATCGCAGATATAACACGGTTATTTATCATGTAGTTATGAGTTTTGTTGCATTAAATATGAATAAAAATGACTTAATTCAATTTGTAAGTGAACCTTGGCGTAATGATCTGTTAACTGATAAAAAATATGAAAAGCTATATTATCTTACACCAGAAATGAAAAAAGATACGAATTAGAGTTAAAAATATACTTATCTTCAATTTTAAAAGATCTTATAGCTGAAAAAGATTAAGAAATAAATGCTATTAATCAAAGTATAGGAAATCAAAAAGGTGTCGGGAGTCAATCAAAATGGTGCAAAGAATGCAATACAACCAACATTGATAATAAAAAACGTACATGCCCTAATTGTCATAAAAAATTAGATACATTAGCTACTTTACAAGCGGAATCTGCTAAAGAACTTGCACAACTTAATAATACAGTTTCACAGTCAAAATCTCTTATAATTAAGTCCCATTCATATACTTACGAACAAAAAAACTCTCATTTCGAACGTATTAGTATTACCCAACACTCAGAACCAGATAATAATGTTATTGTTCCAGAAATGCATGTGCCGGATCCATTAAAATGCAACCCTAATTCAATAAATAATATAAAAAAGGTTTTAGAGTATATACAGAGTATTACAGGGATAAACCAAGAAGCACGAAAATGGCTACCGGTTACTTGTGATGGCATTCCTTACAATCTAGTTCAAAAAATTAAAAATAACTTTCCGTGGCTTATACTAATTCCTGGTGCCCTGCACAAAGAAATGAATATGCTTAAAGCATTTGTAGAACTAAACTGGTATTATTGTTTTTTTTGGATACATATTTCTTTTTAGTGATGGGGAAAATGCGCATGAATGCGCACAAAATGTTTCATGCACATGATATCGCATGATAAAAAAAAGGCAAAAAAAAAGAAAAAACGATCGAGAGGAGAGAAATCTTGATGGGATAAAATGTGCATAATTCTGCAATCATGCGCACATATAAAACCCATCTCTATTTCTTTTTGTTATTACAAATAACTCTAATTTATATTAACATATTCTTTTAAGGATAATCGATATCAAGCAATTTGCTATTCTTCAAGGATACAGAACTGAAAATCAACTTAGGTATTTCAAAAAATGCATTGACCATCACAAATCGTAGGACTCTATCTGCAATATTTATCGACATGCGATTACATGTGAATTATTATAGCCATATATAGTCGCAACTGAAAATCCTTCGGCTGATGGCTATTTGGATTGGGCAAAGAAAACAAAATGATCATAAATATAAGCTGAAATTTGAACAGGTAAGATTTCAAATAAAAAAAAAATAAAATAAATAAAATATTATTTAAAAATTTTAGCTAATGATTATTACAGACATTTATCTACCTCCAGGCAATTATTAATTTTCGTACGAGGGTTAGAAATAATCGGCCATTGTTGATTAGTACTGCTCGACATATGTTTGCTCCAATATGGTCTGGTCGTAGGCATCCTATATACCGCTTAATTGAGATAACTTATGAAGAGCAATTGATGCGGTTAAATCCTGAAATTAGAAAATGCATAGAATCATTCTCGGTTATTTCACGATCAGGACATTGTAACCAACATCAGGGCCTTGATGCTATTCTTGAAGAAGTTAATAAATCTTTAAAGGCCTTGATTCCACCCGTACCTTCACAAAAACATTGGAAAATAGCAGCATGGAATTGTATAAAGTTTATAAAGGTTAATGAAATATATTTAAAAACTATACATTTAAATAAAAAGTTTACACCTACAATGCAAATTTTTTTTAATTTATAATTAGTTGTGCCACATGTTATTTGATATGATTGGGCATACTGATAATGAATCATCAGGAGGTCGGTTGCATCCAGATTACACCCTAGAGTCACAACGATTTCAAATTCAATTATGAAAATTTGGGTTTTTGAATTCTCAAAGCAATGATCGCACATTTAGAAGCCTTGGAGAGGAGTCCCTACTTAGCGAACAGCTAAAAAATTTTAGTGATTTAGTATGTGAAAGACGAAGAAGGTTTATTGATGAGACTTTCAAAAAAAGCAAGTCAAATCACTTACTCCGGCCAATACCTGTTACTGCTCAAGAAGAAGCAGCCACCATGGATGAAGCAAATATGTCAAAAGAAGAGCTTCTAGCAATTATCAATTCATTGCTAAGTTCAGTTAATATTCCAGATAGTTCAAAGTATCGCGGATTAAAGCAAAAAAATCGTAGCCAATTACAAGAGATCTTACAAAGTATTAAAGACCTTTATAATGAGCAAGATGGACTTGAAAATGAAGTAGAACTAAAAAATCAAATGAATTTATAAAATAAATAAAAAATTTGGCTACTTTTATTGTTATAATAAATAATCAAAGCTAATAAACAATAATTTTTTTTTATTTTTATTAGATTTAAAATCGGATATTATTCAGTTCCAAATGATTTAATTGCATCAAGAATTATTTTGTGCAATGGAGGTTTCGCCTCTGAAGGTTTTAAATATCAGCTCTTCTTTGCGCAGATTTTGATAATAAATGGATGCCTTTTGTTCATCCTTTTCAACTCCAATTCCTTGTTAATAACAATATCCAACTTTGTTTGCTCCATTAGCATCTCCATCTCTGCAAATTTATGATAATTAATGAATGCCTTATGTTCATCTTTTTTGATTCCTATTCCGTGTTGATAATAGTATCCAAGGTTATAAGGACCTAATGTAGTAAATTTTTATGATACAGTCTGTAACTATTAAACAACATTTCAAAGACAATACTATATACACCCATCTAACATAACCGGTTTAATATATCTTGCCTGAATAATATGCCATCATAGATTTTTTTATATAATTTTTCCAGAACAGTTGGATTGGTCTAACGGATCTGAAATCATAAACTTAAGTATTAGTTGCAAAATGCAAAATCAAGATTTAACACATGTTAGTTGGAATGGTTTTTAATGATACCCACGTAGCTATATGTTCTTACTTGAACGTTTACAAGATTGGATCAGCCAGACATTTTATAGTACACTTGGAATACACCTTATTCAGGGCCAAAATGTGAAATAGATGTATTCCAAATTTGCTATTTTAAAAAGTTATGTATTAAACTCATACAACGATTTCATATTCTAACTAAACAAAAAAATATATATTGCGTTAATGAAAATATACGAAGTACTAGAAATGATAAGACATTTTTGAAATTCTTTCTATATATATTTTTTTTTATGCAATCAAATTTAAACTTACCGATAAATTCTAGATTGCTGTACCACGTAGATCATTACTTTATTTGGAATTGCCATATATGGAAAAATCCCAGACTGTAATTTGATATTGTTATGATTAACACAGGTCGAATAAATAAAAGGTGAATAATAGATAAATAATAGAAAAAAAACTGCTATTATTTTACCCTATATCTGCCAAATAATAGCAGCATAATAGCAGTATAATAGCAAAATATTAATAAAATAACAGAAGGTTTGTTAATATGAATAATATAATAGTAATATAATAACAAAATAATAAAACAGTTTTATTATTTTACTTTTAGTCTTTGTAACTAAAAGTAAAATAATAGAACTGTTCTATTATTTTGCTATTATATTACTATTATATTATTCATATTAACAAACCTCCTGTTATTTTACTGTTATTCTGCTGTTATGCTGCTATTATTTGGCAAATTTAGGGTAGAATAATGGCAGTTTTTTTTTTTTGTTATTTACCTATTATTTACTCTTTATTTATTCATTCAACCTGTATAAGACCAATACTGGCAGTTAGAGTATACTATTAAACCACTATGCCTTTGTAGAGTTTACTTCAACTCTGATACTAACTTTATAACATATTCTTACTAGTTTGGTATTCAATTCAAGTTCTACTAAGCTGCCATTTTAGATAGTTCTAAAAGGTAGATTATAACTATACACCTCTGGTTTACATATTTGCTAACATGTACTCTTTTCTTCTAAAATTGAAAATTTCAGTAGCCTGATTGGTTCATCTGATCTCTCTTTAAAGACTGGCACATTTGCCTAGTTTTACAAATTCTAGCTCTGTTTCATAAGTTTAGTCTTTATAGTAGCACTGTTAAAATTTTGGCTTATCTCTCTACTTAGGTCTTCCAAGTAGGCTTTCATCTTTTTATCTAGTTTCTGTGATTTATATGACCTAAGAACTTATCTTAGGTTCACATCACTCAGTACCAGTTTGTGTTTCTTTATACAATGTTGTACAAATGCTTAGACCTTCCAGTTATACTAGTATAGCACAAGTTATAGGTATCTAATCTTAACCAATCACAGAAAACAGTTAATTGTAATACAAAAAGAATTGCAAATTTTTGTCATTACTGGAATTTGAACTCTAGACCTGCTATTTAGAGGTTGGCAACCTATTTATTTTACTAGATTACTACATTTTCACAAACTATTTTTATTATTCTACTAGTTATATTATTTCTAATACTAAATTATAGCTAATTACTATTTTTAATAATTAAATAATTATTAGCAAAATTAAAAAACATAACACTTTTACTAGCACTGCTTATTTTAGTTTCAGTTTATTAATTTTTATTCTATTTTTACTTTTATTACTATATTATACTTAGTATAATATTTTAACTTTAATACTATTGCTAAAAAATACATTATTTTTATTCTTATCAATTTGGTTACTAAATTACTTTGTTTATATTCATAGTGTTTACACTCATCCAACAGACACTATTGCACTTAATATTTTCTTTTGAAGTAATGTCAAACTTTGTATTATTTTAGTATATCTTTTATCTACTGATACAGCTATTTATAACCAAACCCAAAATATAATAAGCAACTGGATCCAACAAGCCTTTTAACTTTATCTTCATTTCATTATTCTTAGTGATTTTAATGTACAGAATTATATTTACAGCTTCTCTTCCAAATATAGACTTATTAATTTTCTTAATTACTCTAATATATATAATATTGAAGCCTATTCAATAACAAACACTTTACTTAATCTAACAATACTAGAAGTAGTTGCATTAACTGCATCTGAACTAACCAATTTAAAATACAATTTCTTTTTTTTTACAGTTTTAACAATAGTCAAACCTTTACTTCAAGTAATTACTTGATTCTTACTTCTATTTGGACATTTTTATATGTCTATAGTAATCCTTTACAGAAACATACTTAGATTTGTTGTCATATATTTAATTATAAAATAATAACTACAGAAGATTGAAGCTCCTTTGTTAATACTTTAATTCAACAACTCTTATTATACAAAACTTCTATTAACAGTACTACTAATAAAAGTATTAAACTACTTGGTACAAAATTCAATGCTCTATAATCTATACTGCTACTTATACAATTCCTAACTAGTACTCTACAAAATCAAGTCAAAGTTTGAATTTGAATCAAATATTTTCAAATATTTGATTTAAATTCAAACTTTAACTTGATTTTGTAAAGTACTAGTCCTAACAAAATCTCTTGCATACAAAGTTACAATCATTAATACTCACTTTATAGTACTCTATTACATTTCTTTCTTAAAAGCTTAAACATATTATTTAAAATTGTTAAAAAATTTACTAATCTTCTAACATCTCAAATATTAATTAAAACATCTTCTAAATTAATAAACAGTTACAATGTGATCTTAAATTACTCATCTCTACTAATCCTTCCTGTACTCAACTATGGTTTCAATATGCTTATTCTATTTGAAGACAACTTTATTATGCTTATTATCTTGAAAACTTTCTTCTACTTTAATAACAAATTAATTAAGCCACTGACAAAAGATGTGTTACTCTTACAACACATCCTATTTAGACTATTAATAGCATCCTTAATCTCTATTATCAACCTGTTTATCTTTCAAATATAAAATTTCCAAATCAACTTATTACTGATTCATTACTTATTAAACAACATGTACAATCATATTTTCATAATTGGACTATACTTAAACCTATTAACAAAACTCTTTTTAATAATTTCTAGAAACAATAATACCTTTCATTTTCTCATATTAATCCATCTTGGTATTACTTTTTAACTCTCTTATTACTAATGAAAAACTTCTCTAAACTCTTTTATGACTAACTAATAACAAGGTTTGTGATCCTACAGATATTAGTTATAAAATGCTTAAACATATTAGTTTCTAATGCACTTCTGTTATTACTGCTTTCTTTAATTATTGCCTTTTTAAAAACAGAATTTTAAAACAATAAAAACATAGCAAAATTTATTCTATTCCTAAACAAAACATTTTTGATGATAACTTTAATCTTACATAACCTATTAGTCTGATCAAACACACTTATAAGATTTACATAAAAATTCTTACAAACTAACTTAGTTTTATATTTTTCTTAAACCCTATTCTTTTACCTTTTAACTATGTTGTACTTCTTAATAATAGTATTTTAATTCTTATTTATATTCTTAATAATCTTATTAAAGATACTATCTGCAATCATAAGGACATTTGGTTACTCTTACAAGATATAAGCAAAGTATATGATTCTGTAAACTTTGCTCTTTTTAAATATTTACTTTCCTGTCTTTTACTTTTCTTATTCATTATTAACATTCTTACTGATCTCTTTACTGATCATTACAACCAAGTTATTACTAATCTTAGCTTTATTTCTTTTTATTTAGTTTACAATAATATTGACCAAGATGAAACAATTACAACTTTGTTATAGTGTATCTACTACAATCTACTTATTTCATACATATACTTAAAAGTACCTAGTTATACTTTATTTAATCATTAATTTAAAACTTTAAACATCTAATTTATTACAAAAACAATGCTTATTCTGGCATATATGGATAATACTCTTTGGCTTGCCTTCTTACAAACTAAGCTCTCTTATATATTTTCTATAGCTAAATTATTTTATACTATGGCTAACTTTCAAGTTAATCTCTCAAAATCCATCCTGGTTATTAATAACCTCTCATCTTACTATACTCTTATCTCTTATAACAACTATTTACTTTTACTTCATTTTTTTAAACAACTCTTTAAATTTTTAAATTGCTGGTTTATTTTAGACATCAGACAATCTAAACAAACAAAACTAATTATTTCTAAATTCTTTCAACTTATCCAAACTACAAAAACAAAACATATAACTGACTTACACACCTGCTATATTATCAATACAGTTACTATTTCTACTATTGAATATCATTTACATAACATTGTTATTAATCAACCTATCTGTAACAAAATTTTTATCCAACATATTGGTCTTGTTAAGCTCAAAGCCAAACTTTGTCATATAATTCTTTTTAGTACCCTATTACATCTTCAAATTTATAATATTAAACATATCTGAGATATTTAACTACAACACTATATTACCAATCTTCTTAAATAACTTAACAATTTTGACCTACTAGACACATCTATTTGTATATAAATTTAACAACTACAAAACAACTTCTGGTCTTCTAATAATATTTTTCTTTATTCTAAGCCAATCATTGATAGACCCAATTACTTAACTACAAACTTCAAAATAATACAACTTATTAAACACATAGGCTGGACTTTTTCAACTAGCCCAATTTACAACATTCTATATATTCTAAATAATGAAACTATCTCTCTTAAATCTCTTCTCTTTTTTCATTCAAAATATTCTATTTTTAAAAACAACTCAGACACTATAAACTTTCTTTTCTGAATCAACTTACTATTTATAATAATTCATATTTACTATACTAATAACACATTTTATTAAGACTTAACAAATTTCAAAAGACATTATATTACAATAATTTACTATTCTTGAGAATATTACTATAAGCCACTCTTACCAATACACTTTATATAATTATTATAACTTACTTTCTATAAACTATTTCTGCTACTCTACTGGCCACTTTATCTCTAATACTAAAACTTGGCTAC